CCCCTTCCCCCCCTTATTTTCCTGTATGGTAAGATAGATTTCCATACCCCATTGTGTATGTTATTCCCTCTTTAAGCCAAATCCTATGAGAATAAGATTCACTCCTTCCCTCTCACCTTCCCCCATTTCCCCTCCACCATAAAAGCCTTTTCTTATCTGTTTCATGTGAAATAATTTAACCCATTCTATTTCTCCCTTTCTCCTTCTCCCAGTATAATCCTTTCTCACCCCTTAATTTTATTTTCCAGGTATCACCCCTTCATCTTCAACTCACCCTGTGTCCTCTATCTATCTATACATAACGTTAATTTTTCCCCTCCCACTACCCTAATACTGACAAAGGACTCATGAGTTACAAATATCATCTTTCCCTGCAGGAATGTAGAAAGTTCAACCTTAATAAGTCTGTTATTATTTCTCTTTACTGTTTACCTTTTCCATGTTTCACTTGAGTCTTGTATTGGAAAGTCAAATTTTATATTCAGCTCTGGTCTTTTCCCCAGGAATGCTTGAAAGTCATCTATTTCATTGAATGACCATTTTTTACCCTGAAGGATTATTCTCAATTTTGCTGGATAGGTGATTCTTTGGTTGTAGTCCTATCTCCTTTGCCCTCTGGAATAGCATACTCCATGCCCTCCAGTCCCTTAATGTAGAAGCTGCTAACTCTTGTGTTATCCTGATTGTGTTTCCACAATACTTGAATTGTTTCTTTCTGGCTGCCTGCAATATTTTCTCCTTGATCTGGGGATTCTAGAATTTGGCTGCAATATTCCTAGAAGTTTTCCTTTGAGTATCTCTTTTAGGAGGTGATAGGTGGATTCTTTGAATTTCTATTTTGCCCTCTGGTTCTAAAATATCAGTGCAGTTTTCCTTGATAATTTCTTGAAAGATAATGTCTAGGCTCTTTTTTATGGCTTTCAGATAGTCCAATAATTTTTAAGTTCTCTCTACTGGATTTGTTTTCCAGGTAAGTTCTTTTTCCAATGAGATATTTCACATTCTCTTCTATTTTTTCATTCTTTTGGATTAGTGTTACAGTGCCTTGATTTCTCAAATTGTCACTAGCTTCTAATTGCTCCATTCTAATTTTTAAGGAAGTATTTTCTCCAGTAAGCTTTTGGACTTCCTTTTCCATTTTGCTTTTTAGGGCATTCTTCTCTTCATTGCTTTTTGGACCTCTCTTGCCATTTGGGTTAGGCTATTTTTTAAGGTGTTATTTTCCTCAGTATTTTTTTGTGTCTCCTTTAGCTTCACTCTCAGGTTTTCCTCTACTTCTCTTATTTGCTTCTCAAAATCCTTTTTGATTTTCCATGGCCTGTGACCAATTCATATTTTTCTTGGAGGCTTTGGATGTAGGAGCTTTGGCTTTGTTGTCTTCTTCTGATTGTGTGTTTTGATCTTCTTTGCCACCAAAGTAAGGTAATATAGTCTGATTCTTTTTGTGCTGCTTGCTCATGATCCTGGTCAATTATTTCAGTTATAAACTCTTTGTTAAGGTAAGGGTCTGTTTCTGGTGTGGAGATTTCACGCAGCTGTTTTCAGAGATACTTCCAGTGACCTGTAAGTTTACAATTCTTCCAAAGTGCTATGATCAAGGGTGAGGTGTTTATTCCTTTCCTGGCCTGTGCTCAGGTCTATGAGTGACCACAAGCATTCCTTTCTGTATTGGAACCGTCAGGAGGATTCTCTTTTCACAGCCACTGTAAGCTCCACCATGCCAGCGCTCCTCTTCACCCCAGGACCGCCACCCAGAACTGTGACCCAGATCCAAGAACAGGCAAAGCAAGAGATTCCTGCCTCAGCACTGGCAAAGAGATCCCTGCAATCCCCCTGTGATCAACCACTCGATTCCCCTTCAGTCTGTGGGCCAGAAACTCAGGAGGCAGCGGCAGACCCAGGGCCAAGCTTGGGGGCTGGAACCCCACCGTGCTTCTTTCTCACCACTGCAGAAACAGACTTGTCCCACTAACCTTATAAGTTGCCTTTGGCATTCACGGGTTGAAAAATCTGGAAACCACCACAGCTGCCTGAGATTCAGTCCTCTGAGGCCTGCTCCGGGTTCAATGAGGCCTGCTTGCCTGCGCCCATGCCAAAATGTGTTCCTCTCCCAGCCTGGCATGATATACCTTTCTGATCAACCATACAGGTTATCTTGGGTTGGAAATTTGTTTCACTCTGTCTTTTTGTGGTTTCTGCTGCTTTAGAATTTGTTTAGAGCCATTTTTTTATTGGTATTTGGAGGGGTTTGGGGGAGAGCTCAAGCAAGTCACTATTGTTAGTTCTCAACATTATTTAAAGCACAATAGCATTCTGTCACAATCATATACAGACCTAGTAGTGTTATTGTTTGGTCAAAGGATATGTATGATTTTAGCCACCACAAAAATATTTGCTATAAATATTTTCATATAAATAGGTTCTCTCTCTCTCTCTCTCTCTCTCTCTCTCTCTCTCTCTCTCTCTCTCTCTCTCTCTCTCTCTCTCTCTCTCTCTGTGCTGGGTATGCACAATTTTATAGCCCCTCAGGCATAGTTCCCAATTGCTCTCCAGAATGGCTGGATCAGTTCCCAAAGCCACCAACAGTACATTAGTGGCCCAGTGTTCCCATATTCCTGCAACATTTATCATTTTTCTTTTTTAGACATATCAGCCAATCTGATAGATGTGAAGTGGTATCTGACAGTTGTTTCAATTTGCATTTCTCTAATCAATAGTGATTTAGAGCATTTTTTGATATAACTAAAGATAGCCTTGATTGTTTTAGTCTGAAAACTGCCTGTTCATATCCTTTGTCCATTTATCAACTGGGGAATAACTCATATTTTTATAAATTTGACTCTATTCTCTGTATATTTGAGAAATGAGGCCTTTATCAGAAAAACTTGCTGTAAAAAATTTTTCCTTCAGTTTTCAGCTTTCATTCTAATTTTGGTTCCATTTTTTGTAAAAAAAATTTAACTTTAAGTAATCAAAATTATTCAGTTGACATTTCATAATGCTCTCTATGTGTAATTTACTAATTGATTCTTCTCTTATCACAAGATCTAACAGGTAAACTATTACACGTTCCCCTAATTTGCTTGTGTTATCACCTTTATGTGTAACTTATATACCCATTTTGACTTTATCTTGGTATATGCTTTTAGAGGTTGGTCTATACATACTTTCTGCCACACTGTTTTCCAGTTTTTCCAGCAGTTTTTGTTAGATAATGAGTTTATGTCCAAAATACTTGGATCTTTCAGTTTATCAAACATTATATTACTGTGCTTATTTACCACAATTTATTGTGTATCTAATCTATTCCATTGATCCACCACTCTGTTTCTTAGTCAATAATAGACAGTTTGCCTAATTACTGCTTTATAATACATTTTGAGATCTGGTACAGTTAGACTACCTTCCTTCACAATTTTTTCATTAATTCCTTTAATATTCTTGACCGTTTGTTTTTCCTGATGAACTGTTATTACTTTTTCTAGCACTATACTGTATTTTTGTTAGTTTGAATGGTGAAACACTGAACAAGTATATCCATTTGGCTACAATTGTCTTTTCTATTATATCATCTTCACCTACTCATGAACAATTGATATTTTTTCAATTGTTTAGATCTGATTTTATGTGAAAATGTATTGTAATTGTGTTCTTATAATTCGTGAGTTTGTCTTGGCAGGTAGACTCCCAAGTATTTGATACTGTCTACAGTTATTTTAAATGGAATTTCCTTTGTTATTCCTTACTGCTGGACTTGTTTGTAATATATAGAAATGCTGATGATTTCTATGGGTTAACTTTGTATCCTGCAACTTTGCTGAAGTTATTAACTATTTTGATTAGTTTTGGAATTGATTCTCTGGGATTCCCTAAGTATACCATCCTATCATCTTCAAAGACTGATAGTTTTATTTCTTCATTGCCTATTCTAATTCCTTCAATTTCTTGTTTTGGTCTTATTACTATAGCTAGAATTTCTAGTACAATCTTGAATAGCAGTTGTGATAATGGGCATCCTTGCTTCATCCTTGATCTTCTTAGGGGGGCTTTTAGCTTATCCTCATTTCAGATAATACTTGCTGTTGGCTTCACATAAATACTATTTATCATTGGTAGAATGTTTTAGTAGTTATTTATGGTACTATAGCTTCTCAGTAAATGCCCTTTCTAAAAGCTGATAGTTGATTGATATGAAAGGACACACTAGAGAGGGGCTCATAAACAGTAATAAAAACTACAACCCTAATCCTAGAAACCCCATGGAAGAAGTAATGTTCTTACCTCTGGGAAACAAACCTGTCAGTGCCAAGTGAGTTTGGAGAGTGAGCTCCAGAGGGAATGACACAGGGATTTTTACCTTTTATTCTATTCCTAGAATTTAGGACAGTAACTGACCCATAGCAAGAGTTTAATCCATGCTTGTTGATTAATTGATAGTAAGTGTATAAGAGATGGCTTGGATTGATTACCGAAAGATGATTTGTACTTAAGTTCTCTGAATCCAAATACACCACTTTTTATATAATATCACCCTATCTTGGCAGGAGTCTTACAGAAACTTTCCCAGCTGCAAGGCTACCCTTAGTTATTATTTTAATGATATCAATGAAATACTTCCCATATGTTATCTCTCATTCTCACTATCTGACTGAGCAACCTCCTCATTCTCTCCACCATATATATGCTTCTTGTATTTCATGATAGTAGTCAACTGACAGTCATCATCACTGGTAAATATGCCGCCTTGCCCCTGTCAGGTATCTTTGCAAAATTACTTGGGTTATTTGTAATCTTGATTCTTCCAAGACTGAGGTCCCAGGATTCTCAAATATAGATTTGGAAGGTGAGTAGAAGAAAGAAAATTTACTGTTTGAGCCCCAAAGTGTATCTCCTAGGAATTGCCCCAGAGAAAGACCAGAGAGAAAAACCCCACCTCCAGAGTGAACTTGGAGATTGATTCTTTAAAAAGAAAAGGACAGATCCATTTCATGCTATGGGACAATATATTTTCTTTGGCATTCCATCAGACAGCAGGTTACAAGAGGTATGGGCACAACCTAAATACCTAGAGGATCTCAGAAGCCACAGATATGGCACTTTGTGGTTTGAATCAGTGTGCCTAACACCTGACAATGTTTTCAATATAATGAAGAACCAAAGTAACGCCTACATGGTTCCTAGGCCCTGCTGCTCTGAATTCCAAGGAAAGGGCAACTGTTTCAAACCTTGACAAGTTCCATTGGGATACAATGACTTTGGAAGCAATATCTCAAGGAAGGGGTGGTATTATTAACCTGTATACCGTGTGACTCTACATATTATAGAAGAATCATCTTTCCGTACAACAGTGATCATACAGGTAAACTTGTTGAAAATTTCCTTGCACTTGTCTCTGTCATACTCTACAGGCCTCCTCAACCTGTTGGTAGAAAAAATTGGGCAAAGATTAGAGTTGTCTTGGGAAATGATGAATAATTTATTAAGACTCTTACCCTTATTCCAGAGAGCCTCTTACTATATAGCACCTGTCCTCCCCAACCATTTAATGAGCCATCTCAATCTACCCACAAGTACAGATGAGAACATATTAGGTCTTAGGTGCTAGTTAGTGTGCACTGACGCCCAGGGTCACACAGCTAACAAGTGTCTGATCTTGGATTTAAATAGAAAAGAATAACAGATCTTAGATTTCAAACTAGAATGGACCTTAGAAGTTACCAAGTTCAAAACCCCTCTTTTTTAACTGATAATGAAACTGAAGCTGAGATTGGTCAAGTGACTTGCCCAGGATCATACAGATAACATTTATGTGTCTGAGGAAGGATTTTGACTCAAGTCTTCCCAACACCAAGCCCAATGTTCCATGCACTGTTTCTCCTAGAGAGGTTAAAGTCTTATTCTCTTCTTTCCTGATTGGATCACATCCAGAATATGATGTCCGTTTCAGGGAGTAACCTTTTAGGAAGGAAAATGATCATCTGGGGCACATTTATAGCATAACAAAAATGGAGAGAATGAAAATCAGTGTCATAAAAAGATCAATACAGGAATCATAGCCTGAACCTTCTGTCACAGGGAAGGGAACAGACTTTCTCAGCTTGCTTGGCCTCAGGGGGCAGAGCTGAGAGCTGGGGATAGAGGCTGAGAAGAGCCTGTTTTTTTAAAGAAGTTCAATGAGAGGAAATCTTCCTAACCATGAGAACTCTGCAGAAGGAAAAAGAGCTGCCCTCACTGAAGGCCTTCAACCAAAGGTCTATTGGGCATTTGTTGACTAGGGGTTTCTGGTTCTCAGATGGGTTCTACTCCCTTCCAGCTCAGAGATTCTGTCATTTTACATCTGTCTATTTATGGTCTGCCATGAACTCACGTGCTGCAGCACTCTATTCCAGATGTTTCATCACATGTACAGAGGTTACAATTAGATAGCCATTGACTGCCAAAATCACGCATTGTACCATCAACATCCCTGCAACCTAAGACAGAACATTGGCAAATCTTCTGTTAAATTGCAATTGATGCCCCTAGAAAAAGATTTTACTAAATTGTTAAAGCCACCTTGAATTGTACCACACTAAGAAATCCTAATAATGGAAAATCTGGGTTACTTTTAAAGATTTCCAAATAAGCTTCTACTGTTTCCCTTGACAATCTCATCCAATGCTTCACAACCCATTCATTTAAGTACAGCCATTAAGTCATTCCCCAAGGATTCACAGTGACAACTGGAAACATCTACTACACTAATTGGGAAGATAAGTGTTAGCAGAGCAATTGTCAGGTATAAGCTCCCTAAATGCAGGGACTGTTTTTTAGGATTTCTTTATTTTCCATCTTTCCTTCCATAATTAATTTCTTCTTTGTAGCTACAACCTTTTGCACACAACAGATGTTTAATAGATGCTTGATGAATTGAATGACTAAGTAAGTCCTTGAGGCATAGAGAGGGATGTAGTTTGCACAGCATCACAAAGCTTGTTAAGTGTCAGAAGCCAGATTCAAACCCAGATCTTTCAAATATCAATCCTAGCTCTTAACCACTAATGCACACTACCCCATACCATCTGGAAAACATAAGTACTGACTCTTAATTATGTGATAGAAGGGAGATTATGGGGAAAGACCTTATATGTATTTTTAGACAGCTGATTCTTTTCTCCATCTCCAGCATATCTTTAGATTAAATCCACTTTTCCCAACTTTTGCCCACTACTCCTATCCCATGGATCTTGGCTCCAATGGACACAGATAGGCCATTTAAGTTTACTGCAACCACTTTTCCTGCTAACCAAATCCTCCTGTTCCTAAGACAAGAAACAGGTGTAAACAAAGATTTACCTTTTATTGGAGCCCCTGGAGTGATCTCCAAGCCAATATACATGCAGTGAGCATCACAAAATGTCACAAAGATAGCCAAGGAAAGGAATCCACTTAGCATGGTTTTCTATTGAAAAAAAAAGGAACGAAAAAAAGATTGAAAGTGATTCAGGAGGGGAAATGGCTAAAATTTTTATTTTTTAAAGTTTTATAGCTGCCTTCACATTTTATTCCACAGTCACTACCCAATATACAATATCTTCCTGGCAATGGAAATAACTTTGTAATAAGAAAGTCTACAAGGGAGCACAGTGGATAAGGCACTGGATACGGAATCAGAAAGACTTGAGTTCAGTTTGGCCACAGACACTAACTTGTGGGACCCTGGGCAAGTCACTTAGCCTGTCTGCCTCAGTTTCCTCATTTGTAAAATGGGGGCAATGTTTGCTTCTCAGTAATGTTAGGAGGATCAAATGAGAAAATATTGGGGGAAAGTGCTATTATTACCTAAAATAGTCAAGCAAAACCAACCACCACAGTTAAACAATTATACCTCAAAGAATCCCAGGATCATAGATATAGAACTATAAAGAAACTTAAAGATCATTGAGTCTCACACCCTCATTTTACAGATGAGGAAACTGAGGCCTTGACAGGACTCTAACAAGACTGGCTTGTTCAGAGACCACAAGCTAGTGGATGAGGCATGGTTCTAGCCTTTGTCATTCTGACTCTTAATATCCACTGCACCACTACATAGTTTACCTTCTATGTCCATAGTCACCCACTTTTCTGACAAGAAGACACAAATACAGTGTGGCCCTGGGGAAGTCACTTTTTGCCTCTGCTTGCTTCAGTTTCTTGCATTGTAAAATGGAGGTAATAACACCTACTTCCCAGGGTTGTTGTGACTATCAAATGAGATAATGATTGTAAAGCACTCAGCACAGTGCCTGGCACATAGCAGATGCAGTATAGATGCTAGCTATTCTTACTGCATAGACCATATTGCATAATAGCATGCTAATACTATTCTTAGTATTCATAAATACATTTTGTCTCTTATCCTTTGGAAACTAAATTGCTTATTGCATTTCATATGAGTTCAGAGGACTTTTAGGGGGTTTTTCTTTCCATTTCCATCACTATACTAATTTTGTACAATGTTTTCCTGATCCAGCTTTCTTCACTCAGCATGAGTTCATTCAGGTCTTTCCATGTTTCTGTGATTTCTTCATATTTGTCATTTCTTAATGGACAATAATGTTCCATTCTATTTATATGCCATGATTTGTTAAGCCAGATCCAAGACTTTGAATTCTAGTGTCTGGGACAAATTCATTTGGAAGGGAAAGAGATTGGGGAGAAGTGAGGAAATTAACAGGGATGATGTTGTTGAGTACAGAGTACTGCCTGACTATGGGTGCAGTCATTTTGGGAGAGGGAGGAGCTTATTGCCGATATGGTTAACTAGAAGGCCTGGAGAGGTGCATTAAGACAATGGATTTTGGGTATGGCAGTATGGAGGTAATTCGCAGTTTACAACTGAGATAAATCTATTTATACATATATATATACATATACACACACACACACACACACACACACACACACACACACACACACACATATTATATAATAGACAGTGGGGGCTCCAGAGGAGGAACTGTCTTTACCAAAGCAGAGAGATGACTCTTCTACCACTTTTAGACCTAGGGAGGTAAGCAGAAGACAGACAATTAGGATATATGAGAAGTAGGACTTGAACCCTGAACTTCTGGACTCTTGAACCTGCTCTCTGTTAACTACATCATACTGACTCTGCGTAAGGAGTCCAAAAGGAAATTCACCAAGCAGCCCTATTGAGACTTGACAACTTTCAGGAGAAACCCCAGTCCCTACCTCACAAAAACTGAGTAATATGCCTTCATTTCCCTTCAAAGATGAACCATTATTTACCAATGTGTCTTGGCATCCTCTCACTTCCAGCTGGCCATTACTCCTGAAGGAAACCAGCTCAGGACTAAGATAGATAGATATGTATGCATATATGGGTATATGTTTATATATGCACATGCATGTGTACATATGTATATCATGTGTGTATATACTGTATAAATGTATGTATGTGTATATATGTATACCTGTGTATGCATGTGTATGTGTATTGTTTTATATGTATATGTTTATATGTGCATATACATACACACAAACATACAAGTGTATATACATATGTGTATTATATATATCTATACACACACACATATGAGCACACATACAAGGGTTAGGGTTAGGGATAGAGTTACAGTTAGGGTTAGGGTTAATGTTTTCACCCACCTATGCATTAAATGCTTTCCCTTCTCACCTCAATCTCTGGAAATTCTTCCCTCCTTTCAAAGGTGAGAGGTGTCTCTTTCTTCCAGAAGCATTTCATAATTTCCGCCTGTATTAGTGTGAATATATGCATTTTTATGTTTCCACTGCTCCCTTTAGTAGACTATGAGCTCCTTGAGGTGAGGCATTATCTCACTTTTGTCTCATTTTAGGTTACAACTGCTTATGAGGCAGTTAGTGAGATATGGATAAAGTGCTAAATCTGGAAGATCTGAGTTCAAATTTGACCTCAGACAAATGATGCATGACTCTGGGTAGGTTAATTAACCTTAGTTTGCTCAGTTTCCCAAACTCTAAAATGGGGTTAATAAATGTAACTACCTTATGAGATTTTTGTGAGAATCAAATGAGATAATGTTAATAAAAGGAGTTTCACACAGTACCTGTCAGGGACTAGTTCCTATGCAAATGTTTATTCCCTTCTCTACCCCCTGCTTCCCAGTAGGACAATTCATTAGGAGCAGGACTCAATGGGAATGGGGCCAGGACAGCAAGTTTTTATATCAGGAAGAGGTGCAGAGCTGTCTTTGGTTGGGTCACCCCAGTTGGGTTCCCTGGGCAGCAATTGTGAAGTGGGACTTCAGGGGAGGGAGGAGGCAGAGAGAGGTTATGATGATAGATGCAGGCAAAGACAAGAGCATTTAGGTCACAGGTTAGCATAGGGCTGATTCTGTCTGTGCCCTTTTTGATTTGAAATATCCATCTGCTTGCCACCTCTACAATGAGCATTTTAGGGCCAGCATCTGTTGACAGTTTTGGCTGCAGTAGAAAACTGGGTCAATATCCACAGCATCAGGGTTGACAATGACCTCAAGTTTCCTTTCCCGGCTGTCAGCTAAGCTCAGAGTAAATCATGGCATGGTGAGGAGGTACCAGGAAGGAAAGGTTACAGTTCAGTCACTTTATTACTCACAGGTATGTAAGTGTATGTGGCTCTTCACACTTCAGTCCCATAGATATGCCTCAGGGTCTTGGGTAGTGCATCCCCATCAAGATCCTACAACTGTCAGGTCACTGTCTTTATAACTGATTGTTGCTCTTAGGCTAGCTCACATGGCCTAAGTGGGAGGGGACCTGAGGAGCTGTCATTCAGCAGGTGGTCTGGACTGAGATCCATCTCCTCGATCACATGAACATTGTGACTAGGAAAGTTCACTAACCTTATATACCTGGATTAAAGTTTGCCAGCCTCACATCTCAAACACTAAGTGTAGCCAACCATGTGGAAACTTCTGAGGTCAATCAGTGGTCAGAGAGGCAGGCCAATAAGCAGTCAAACATGGAGTCCCATTGTCCAGCTAGGGCCCAGAAATAGGCTAAACCTCACAGTATTTCTTAAGATACGCATGGTACATGTACATAAATTCTTGTCACATGAAGACCCACTGAAGGAATTGGTGGTGTTTAATCTGAAGGAGAAGGGAGCACATGATAGCTCTTCATGTATTTGAATGTAGTGCCAAATAGAAGAGGAAGTAGACTTTTTCTGATTAGCCCCAAATACCAGAAGTAGGAGCAGTGAGCAGAAGGTGCAGAGAGGCAGATTTATGCTCCAAGAAGGAAAAATTTACTAATACTCAGTGCTGTACCAACATGGGTTGCGCGGCATGGGGTGTGAGCTCCCCCTCTCCAGAGACTACATAGAAAGGAGGTTTAGAGCACATTCTTGCTCAGGGACACATGGGACAAGATGGCTTCTACTATGGGGACTTTGAGCTCTTTCCAAATTTTGTGTCTTCAGTTTAAAGTCAGACTGTCTGACAAGTGAGAGGGGAGGGATCTTTTCCATTAATTCATCTTGAAAGTTGTTTTTTTTTCTCTTTTGAACCCACAAGTAAATAAATCATTTCAGACATAATCATTTTATACTGCTCCAGTTTGTTAAATATGTGACTTTAAACCTACAAGTCAGACACCTTTCTCTCTAATGACACCAGGACTCCCTGCCTGGCAGCTTTAATCTTAGGGTAAGCCTGCTGATGGTTTCATGAGAACAGCCAGTTCCCCTGGTGTGCTGAGCACAGGCACTCATACTAAAGATTTCTGACTCATTCATTCACTCAGCAAGTATTTATTGCACACCTATATGGAGGTTTTTCCATTAGACAAGCTATCCTGCCACTGCTGTTCTCATGACCAACTTTTATGTTTATTCTGTATTATTTTTACTTTCTTAATCCCTGTCTTAAGTCTAGCCAATGAATAAAACAATAAATGCTATCCTGCTTTGTACCTTTTGCAGTTCCTAACATGTAAATGTTCACCCTGAAAAGTTAAAAATCAGCTTTCAGGAGTTTGTTCAAGCTGACTCCAGCACAGCAGTGCCTCCATGCCCCAATGAGGCATCAGAGTTGGAGTTCTGTAGAGGCCTTCCCTCAATCAATAAGAATTCAGTGAGTCTCATCCATGGAGCTAGCTAGCACTGTGTTAGATAGAATATGGGCTAGGGGACATGGACTGATTTCATTGGGTTAGGGAGCTCTCAAGTAATGAAATTCCCTCTACAATGCAGCCACCCCCCTATGTATAATCTTAGTAAGGGCCTAGAGCACTGAGAGGTCACAGAGCCAGTATGTCTTAGACACAAAACTTGAACCCACATCTTCCTGGCTCTACCCACTACACCAAGCTGCCTCGCCAAATAAAGGATGTAGCACTAGGACACATGGATCCTTCCAGCCTTCTAGG